TATATATATATATATATACCATTTCATAAAATTGTTTCGTGAAAGTATTTTGATTGCACATCAACATGGTTTAATACTTATGAAATAAAATCATAACCATATATGGAACACAAATTTATCTATAAAATCACATTCATGGGCTTAAGATTACGATGAGGCGAGACTAGTCTGAACAGTCTCCGATCTTAAAGTAATAGTTTACATAGAGATAATATTATTGAAATTCTTTTAAAGAAACTATCTAAATTATCCTCGCAGCATATTGATGGGCTTAGGGAATGGTATTACAGATGCTTTGCATCTATCTTTAGATTAGATAAACGAACTTAAACATAATATTCTATAGATCGGTTGCGCGTCTATCTGTGAAGAGAAAAATTTGTGATAACTGCTTTAGCTCGATCTCAATTTGATGAAACTCACGAAAACTTTGAAGCCCTGTCGTGCAGTCCCAGATCGGCTTCGTAGATGATGCGATTAAACTCAAATTGGATGGCATTGCGTGTGTGCGGGGGATACTTCTTTAGCTTGCACTCCAGATATTTGACATAGAGTGTCACATCGTCGTCGTCCAGATTCTCCGGCTGATACGAGGGACTCTCAATCTCTGGCTGTGCTGGGGGACTTTCGTTCTCTAGCTGCTCAACTATTTCGATCTCTTCCAGCTCAGTCTTCAGCTGTACGAATTCATCTTGCATCAGCGGGAAGGTAGCGCTGATGGCCTCCTGCTGCTGCACTACCTCCGCCTTTTCCTTCTCCTTCTCCTGCTGTTGCTGTTGCTGCTGCTGTTCGTGGAGCGGAACACGTCTGGGCAGCTCGAATTCAGCGCGAAATTCATGGAATGCCGATTGATACCGACGCTGCGTTGATTTGGCTGATATAAATTCCTGTTCGCTGTCGTAGGGCTCGTTCCCAATGGAATTGTCGCTATTTTCAGAATGATCGAAAGTGTTTGGTTTTTTAATCAACTGCAAAAAACCGAATCATAGCAATTGTAAAGTATACAATTTTCAGTATCTTTCTTTATATTCATATAAGCATACATATAAGATTTCTATTTAAGATTGTAAAACATTAATAAAATAAAAGTTACGTTGCTCTCTTACGGTGTCGAATTGCTGTCACGTTTGATGTGAGATTAAAAAAAGAGATGATTTACGCTGCCATGGAACCCGAGACTGGTTCCATGCTAGCCGAGTGTCTTATCAGAAAACCACTCGCGCTCGCCTTAACGTAAGACAAGAGCGTAACAGAAAAGTAAAGATAGAGAGAGAGAGAGAGAGAGAGAGAGAGAGAGAGAGAGAGAGAGAGAGAGCCGTAAACGAGCAAAACTTTCTTGCTTTTGTTTTGAGCTACACATAAATACATACATACAAATGTATGTATAAATGTATGTGTATTGAGTATGTCAGTTATTTAAAAGAAAAGGACTACGTATTAGCCTAAACTCTTTAGACATTGTAAAATACGATTCACAACATCATGTAATTATAACGAAGAGTGAAATAAATTGAAATTGAATTGAATTAAAAGACAAATGCAATGAATGCATACAATAAATACAATAAATATATCAAATAGTTTCTTGCAATGCAATAAGAGTATGTCCATATATGTATGTACATATGTACATATACATATGTATTTTGCATACATTTCATACTTTTCTTATTTGCATGCAGATACATACATACGTATGTCTACCCACGCATTCATTTAACAGAAGAAGCTTATTTAGCAGACCAATATACATACATACATATGTATGTATATCGATAGTTACTTGAGCTCAATATCTGACACGAGTGTCGTTCTTTTGAACATAAGCATTGACTAATTAACGATAACGAGCATTTTGCAGCAAATTGACATACATATGTACATACTATACCATTTACATGCATACATAGGCAATGAAAATAGCTTTGTCGACGCTCTCTCATACACGCACGTACCATAAGTTTGATCGTTACGAGTTTTTATTCGCTCTCTTTCGTTCATCGTGTTTACGCTCCCAGCGAGCTAGCTTCTCGCACTAGCGCCCTTTTGTTTTGTCTTACGTCCGCATGAGCGCATGACCATATGTATGCATGTATGTACATATGTATGTATGTGTATACTCGCTTAAAATGTACCAAAACGGATCATTTGTGTGGACATTTTTTAGTTTTTGTTATGGTTCCCTTTCTATGCCACTTTAAAGACAAAATTAGATCAGTTTGTGTAAAGGTGTATGTTTACCGCTTACCTTCGGCTGCATAAAGGACATGTGACTGGCCCACCAGCGAGGATTAGTAACACCCTTGCGGTACTGTGATCTGTAGACGCCAATTAGCGAATTCATTTTTCTCTTAACGTCGCGTATGGTCAACTGCATAACATTGGCCATCTCTTTCCAGGCATCGTATCTCGCATTGCGATGCAGGAAACCGCGATTTTCTGGATTCCACAGAACATTCTGCGCCTTGTATGCCTTGATCAGCTTCACGGTATGCTCTTCATCCCACACAATCTGCGGCTTTGGGTGCGATTGTGTGTTGTTCATTGTGACAGTACTCAAATTGAAAGTAATAATAATAATGATTCTTTTCTTATTGTTGGCGCTAAAATTGCCGACGGAAGCAACAGTCAGGAGCAACAGCTATAGCAACAGCAGCCACAGCAACACCAACACTAACCACACAACTCAAATTGAGAATATTAACTGAAAGAGCAACTCACAAAATCAACAGGGTTGTTTATGGATGTAGCAATCTCGTCAAGTTGTTGAGAGAGAGCTGCCTATCGTCGTCTGCCGCGTTCGTTCGTGAAGTGAATAACAAAGAGACGACACTAAACGCATGGCACGAGCGGAGCAGCAGTAGAAAATGAGAAAAAGAGCGAGCGCCCGCGGGCCGCGAGAGCGTTCCGTTAACTCTTCCCTGTGGCATACCTACGGACAGCGGCAACCACCCAGTGCTGCCAACTTTTCCGGGCAAGAAAATGCTAAATTAACCTTTCAAACCAGCTAGAAAAGGCTAGATCAAATTCAAGAATAGCCAGAAATATAGCAATTTCAGTTTTTATACACTTTGAAAATGGGAAATTGGGGTATAAAAGCATATATATTCTTGATCAGGACGATAAGCTAAGTCGATTTTCTTTTTAATGTCCGTTAAAAGAAGTCCATCCACAAGAAAAGTTATTAAGCGCTTAAGTTCCAATAGTAGGCACACATTGCAGCCAATACGTGTGTGCGTGTGTGTGTATGTGTATGTGTTGTTTCTTGTGTAAGCAGAAAGACGCGAAGAATTATTGAAATACCAGTTGCTCGAAGGCTTCAGGGGATCGTACTCGAGCAGTCTCGACTAGAACTTTCTTACTTGTCAATTTTCTCCTCGGCAGTGTACGAATTGTTTGTGCCAATAATATTCAAGTACTTTAAAGGCACTTTAAATAATGCTGGTTTGATTTTTAAAAAAGCCAAATTTCCCGCCAGTAGCCAGATTAAAATTTTTCCTGCAATTGGCAGTTGAAAAAGGCCTGATCTGGCCGGTAAAAGGCTAAGTTGGCAGCCCTGCAACCAACACAAGGGCAGCGAGAGGAAATCAGCTCTCTGCATTGTAACTATGCCATAACATAAACCAAACAGTGTGGCTGAAGGTAGACAGTGTGTTGCATATATATACATATGTAGCTTTAACCGCAGAGTGAACAAGTGTGAGAGAGAGAGAGAGAGAGAGAGAGAGAGAGTGGTGCTGCACGAGTGCATGCAAGGATTGCACAAAAACTGTTGCGAATATGCTATTAAATTTCAATACAAAAATAAATGAATTGTATGTATTTAAGTAAAAGTGTATTATTTACCCAAATCAGAGTGAGTATTAACGTAAATATGTTTCTGTCATAATTTTTATTTATCAAATGGTCAACATTAATGCTTAATATGCTGCGCCTTGACTGCACGGGGCAGGAGTAAAGACGCTTTTGCAGCTTAATACATAGTTGGCTGGACAAGGTGGTGCTGGAATTGAAGATCCGCCATGGCCACCTGATGCTTGTCCATATCCTGCATTATGCACGGATGCCAATACGGGGGAATTGTACATACGTGCAGAGTAGCCAGAAGTCGTTGATGCTGTATATGCGGCAGGTGGTGGAGCTTTCGGCGCTACATATCCGACTGCGGCCGGTGCTGAGTAGTTCGGAGATGCAGGCCTAGAATGGGCAGAAGGACCTGAATAGCTTGGTGCACCGGGCGCTGAATATACGGTAGCCTTTGGTGCTGAATAGCTTGGTGCGGCGGGTGCTGAGTAGCTAGGTGCAACAGGTGCCTTGGGTGCCGAATAGCTTGGAGCGGCAGGTGCTGAATAACTTGAAGCCTTGGGCGCAGAATAAGTTTGAGCGGCTGGTGCTGAATAAGCAGGAGCCTTTGGTGTAGAATAAGTAGGAGCAGCTGGAGCAGCATAGCTTGGAGACTTAGATGCGGAATAACTTTGAGCGGCTGGTGCTGAATAGCTGGGAGCAGTATAAACAGGAGCCTTTGGTGCAGAATAACTAGGAGCTGAATAGCTAGGGGGCTTTGGTGCGGAATAACTTTGAGTGGCTGGTGCTGAATAGCTTGGAGCGGCGGGTGCTGAATAGCTTGGAGCGGCTGGTGCTGAATAGCTTGGAGCAGCGGGTGCTGAATAGCTTGGAGCAGCCGGTGCTGAATAGCTTGGAGCCTTGGCTGCTGAATAGCTTGGAGCGGCGGGTGCTGAATAGCTTGGGGCGGCTGGTGCTGAATAGCTTGGTGCGGCTGATGCTGAATAACTAGGAGCAGATGGTGTCGAGTAGCTTTGAGCAGCAGGTGCTGAATTGCCTGCAGCGGCTGGTGCGGAATAGCTTGGAGCGGCTGGTGCTGAATAGCTTGGAGCAGCGGGTGCTGAATAGCTTGGAGCGGCCGGTGCTGAATAGCTTGGAGCGGCTGGTGCTGAATAGCTTGGTGCGGCTGATGCTGAATAGCTTGGAGCAGMTGGTGCYGARTAGCTTKGWGCRGCMGGTGCTGAATWGCYTGSAGCRGCTGRTSCTGAATARCTTGGWGCRGCKGGTGCYGAATAGCTTGGGGCGGCTGGTGCTGAATAGCTTGGGGCGGCCGGGGCTGAATAACTTGGAGCGGCTGGTGCTGAATAGCTTGGGGCGGCCGGGCGGGAATAACTTGGAGCCTTGGCTGCTGAATAGCTTGGAGCAGCGGGTGCTGTATAACTTGAAACCCCTTGTGCGGCATAACTTGGAGCCTTGGGTGCCGAGTAACTTGGAGCGGCGGGTGCTGAATAGCTTGGAGCCTTGGCTGCTGAATAGCTTGGTGCGGCCGATGCTGAATAACTTGGAGCGGATGGTGCTGAATAGCTTGGAGCGGCGGGTGCAGAATAACCTTGAGGGGCTGGTGCTGAATAATTTGGAGCAGCAGGCGCAGAATAAACAGGACCCTTGGGCGCTGAATAGCTTGGAGCAGCTGGAGCAGCGTAAGTTAGAGCAGCAGGTACTGAATAGCTTTGAGCAGCTGGCGCTGAATTAGATTGATAGTTTGATCCCGAGCTGTACAGAACTGGTGGCCCGTAGGCCTGCTGGGGAATACCCTGGGATGAGCGCGAGAAGCGTTCGTCTATGCTCTCCTCCGGGATGTTGAAGTCCTCCACTTGCTCATTGCTAGCCGCCAGGTGGTCTGATGTAGTCACTGCCACGAGGCAGAAGATGGCCAAAAACGTTAATAGATGCGATCCGTGCATGTTCGTCGCTGAATAATTATGATCGACAAAATTCGGTTGGCATATTCTTTTATGAGCTCGGAACATCCCAATCAGCAAAAAGCCAAAAGACATTACGCAAGGGAAATTGCTGTTATTTTGATCAATTTCGGTTGAGCCAAATGCACAGAAGTCATTTTATGACTTCTACCTAACTTTCTTATGCAAATGTATATATCCACATGCATACATACATACATACATATGTATATATTTTAATTGAGTTGGCGTTGCTGTATATTAGTTGTGTTCTATTTTTTGGTTGTGTATCAGACGCTCAGATACACTTAACTGGAATTGATTAAAGGGAAAAGGTATTGCATTACCATGTGCTAGAAAACCATGACATCGATAATATACAATATATGTATACATCATGCTATAATTGATCAACTTGTATCTTGTGTCTTTTGTAGAGTATATGGTAACAATATATTTTAGCATTTCTCAGCAACTAAAGGTGAGTTATGTGGGTCGCATAATTGTAATGATTGCAACATTTGCTGATTTAACCGATATGTCTGGCATGTAGCATGTTAAATAAATATGCTAACTATAGATAAAAAGAAAGAAGTGTCTTTAAATATGTGTGTATATATGTGTGTTTGTGTAATTGTGCATTTACTTAAAGCAGGAAATTAAAAACATAACTAAATCGAATAAAGCTTTTTCAATGTTATTTAACATTTGTGTTCAATGTTAGATAGCGCCATCTGTCGGTTTTCACATTACACTGCAAGTCAGCTGTGCATATACGTGTATCGGCAATATGCATTGAATTATCGAAGTCTGACGTTCACTTCCAAATCAACACGTCAACGATTTCTTCTTCTTCAAAGTTAGCCCCTYAACACCTGAAAGTCGGCGGCTAGCGACATTTTTATTAATTGGCAAGCATTTGTTGAAATAAAACGTTAACCACGGATCACTTATACTCAATCATTTTCGCTGCAGGCATTTGCCGCAATCAAAGAATAATCAAATAGAAAATCAAAACGTAAGTGCAAGGGGTGGGCCTAACAGCTGCTGCCGCTGCTGCTTGCGTTGGCAAAAAAAAAGGGGGAAAGAAAAGGGAAACGAAAATTGAATTGTGCTTCAAATAAGACAGAAGAGGTTATTGCTCCCGTGCCCAACTGACACTCATATATATTTTATATATCTATCTGTTCTCTTTTTTGTATACAGTGAGTCTGCATTATAATGGCCAATCAAAGATTGAGCTCGTCAACAGCCGGCGGCTGCCTTTCGCTCTCAATGCTGTTCGCCTGTCTGTGCATCATGGCATCTCAACTGACCGGCAGCAATGGGGCCGCCGTGATGTCTGTTGATCTCGGCAGTGAGTGGATGAAAGTGGGCGTCGTGTCGCCGGGCGTGCCAATGGAGATCGCTTTGAATCGCGAGTCCAAGCGCAAAACACCGGCCATCATCGCTTTCCGCGATAATACGCGCACCATTGGCGAGGATGCCCAAACAATTGGAATACGCGATCCATCGGCCGCCTATGGCTATCTATTGGATTTGCTGGGCAAAACCATTGATAATCCCATTGTTGATCTGTACAGGTGAGTTGTATATTTACATTTCTCTCTCTCCCTGTCTCTCTTGCACACACACATTCTCTCGATGCCGCGTTGTGTCCGAGCATGTGTGGGCCACGTCATGTTAGCAAACTGTAAACGTTTTAAGCTAACAGCTGCTATCGCGCAAATTTTTAAAAATAAATGCTCAAAACTAACATAGACATGTAGCGATAAGTAATTGGCGGAAAATCGTTATAAATAAGAAATTTGAAATTTGCATGGTAATTTCTCGAAAGTTATTTACGTACGCCAGCGGCGTAAAACAGCTGTACGAATTATTATATATAGTATTAAAACATCTTTTTACTTACTAATACAAAATAAAAACAAAATAAATAAAACTCTTTGTTTATTTATTTATTCATTAGATGTTAAAGTTAACATAAAATTTAAACAAACTTAAAATTACGCACTGGCTACTAGGGCCTTCAACTAAGCATTGTTTTTTTTTTTTTTTAATTTCTCATTCTTAAGGGCTGTTAGGGCTATATAAAGACACTATCTTAGATTGAGATTTAGTTGTAGGTTAGCTATTGCATGCCTTTCCGGTCCTTTTCTAATAACTTTGCTCATTTACAGAAAACGCTTTCCGTACTATACCATCGTGGGCGACAAGGAGCGCAATACGGTGGTGTTCAAGAAGAGCGACACCGAGGAGTTCAGCGTGGAGGAGCTGGTTGCCCAACTGCTGGTCAAGGCCAAGGAATACGCACAAGAATCGACACAGCAATCGATCACCGAATGTGTGCTAACGGTGCCCGGATACTTTGGTCAGGCCGAGCGAGAGGCTTTGCTGGTCGCTGCACAATTGGCCAATTTGAAGGTGCTGCAGCTGATCAACGATTATGCGGCCGTAGCGCTCAACTATGGCGTGTTCCATCGCGGAGAGATCAATGAGACGGCACAGTATTTCCTGTTCTATGATATGGGCGCCTACAAGACATCCGCTGCGGTGGTCAGCTATCAGTTGGTCAAGGATAAGCAGACCAAGGAGGTCAATCCGGTGGTCCAGGTGCTGGGCGTTGGCTATGATCGATCGCTGGGCGGCCTGGAGATACAGCTGCGCTTGCGCGACTATTTAGCCCAGGAGTTCAATGCCCTGAAGAAGACCAAGACGGATGTCACACAGAGTCCACGGGCGCTGGCCAAACTGTTCAAGGAGGCGGGTCGTGTGAAGAACGTGTTGTCAGCCAACACAGAACATTATGCGCAGATTGAGAATCTGCTGGAGGATCAGGACTTTAAGCTGGTGGTGTCGCGCGAGAAGCTAGAGGAGCTATGCGCTGATCTGTGGCCACGCACCACTAAACCATTGGAGGATGCTCTCGCCACGTCGAACCTGTCGCTGGATGTGATTACTCAGGTGATACTCTTTGGCGGAGGCACGCGTGTGCCACGTGTTCAGGAGACAATCAAGCAGCTGATCAAACAGGAGCTGGGCAAGAATCTGAATGCTGATGAATCGGCCACCATGGGCGCCGTCTACAAGGCAGCCGATCTGTCCTCTGGCTTTAAGGTGAAGAAGTTCATAGTTAAGGATGCAGTGATCTTCCCCCTGCAAGTGTCCTTTGAACGTGATCCGGGCGATGGTGCAGCCGTGAAGCAAGTGAAGCGTGTGCTCTTCGCCCTGATGAATCCCTATCCGCAGAAGAAGGTAATCACCTTCAACAAGCACACGGATGACTTTGAGTTCTATGTGAATTATGGAGACTTGGATCGCTACAGCGCGGAGGATATTGCTGCTCTTGGAAGCCTCAATATCACGCGCGTTGAACTGCAGAAGGTCAAGGATCTGCTGGAGAAGTCGAAGAAGGATCAGGTGGACAATAAGGGCATCAAGGCGTACTTCTATATGGATGACTCTGGCATTTTCCGTTGCACGGGCGTCGAGTATGTTTATGAGAAGCAAAAGGTTGACGAGGAGCAGGACGAGGATAGCACATTGGCCAAGCTAGGCAGCACCATCAGCAAACTCTTCACCAAGGAGGCTGAGAAAGCTGAGGGCAGCGAAACCCCAACGCCCAATGACCAAGAATCCGGCGAGGAGCCAGCCGATCCCAAGCCTGATGATGAAACTAAGAAGGCCGGTAATGCCAACGACTCAGTTCCCACCAAAAATGTAGATGAGAACAAGGCCGAGGCCAAGAATGAGACCATCAAACTAGTCACCATCAAGGCACCCGTGGCCCACAAGACAGAGATTAGATTTACACAGCCTTTGAGTGGCAGCGGCTACAACGACGCTCTGGCTAAGCTGCAGGCTATCAACAAACAAGAGGAGGAGCGCGTTCGCTTGGAGTCCACATTCAATGCACTCGAATCGCATATCATCGAGGTCCAGCAGAAGCTGGATGAAAAGCCTTATGCGGAGTGTGCCACGGACGCGGAGAAGGAGGAGTTGTTAGCCGAGTGCAGCAAGCTGTCCGAGTGGCTGTACGAGGATGAGGATAATCGTACGCCCGAAGTTTATGAGGAGAAGTTGAAGCAGCTGAAAAAGCTGTCAAGTGTATTCCTCGGTCGTCACTGGGAGCACGAGGAACGTCCGGATGCGATCAAGTCCTTCAAGGGCATGATCGAGAGCGCTGAAAAGTTCCTTCTGACGGCACGTAATCTCACCAAGGACACAAATCCCGAGATGGATGTCTTCACCCAGGTGGAGATCGACACGCTCGTCAAAGTGATCACAGAGTCAAGCACCTGGCTGAAGACCGAAGTCGCCGCCCAGAAGAAGCTCAGCCGGAATGCGGATGTGCGTCTAACGGTGCAGGATATGATGAAAAAGATGGCCACGCTGGATCGCGAAGTTCAGTATATGGCCAACAAGATGAAGATTTGGAAACCTAAGGCGAAGGTCGATAAGAAGCCTAAGGAGCCTGTACCTGTTGAAGAGACAGTTCAAGGCAGTGGCAGCGGTAGCGGCGACAACGCCGACTTCAAAACCGAAGAAGCGGTCAAGGACAAAGCTGAGCAGCCAAAGGATCAGAAGGAGGAGGAGCAGGTAACACCCACTCCTACAGCCGACGCCAAAACACCACACAGCGAACTCTAAAGCAAGACTGCATGAAATGAACAGAAAGAGAACATGAGAGGTAAATCGAGAGATAGAGAGAGAGAGAGAGATAGCGTGAAGAAGAGAACGCAGGATAAATTCACAATCGGAGAAAATGCGAAAACAGGAACTGGAACGGGGGAAAGTTGTGCGCTTAATGCGTTGGGCTTGCCCAGAAGGGAGGGGAAATAACGGATTAGGGGGACAATCCGTTCAAAGCTTTGAAGTAGTAAAACGAAAATGGAGGGGGCATACGTTGGCTTACGGGTGGACGGCTCTGGTCTGAAGCCCAACGCATTTTTCGTACAAAATTAGAGAAAAAAAGAATAGATGAAAAAAAAGAGCGTTCAATGTTTTTTTTTTTTAATCTTAAATTATTATTTCGTTCGAACTAGCTAATGGCGGGGTTAAATTATGCTACTTTAAACATAAATCTATAACTAAAGAAATTCAATGAAGTGTAAAAATTCAATTTTCATTCCGTCGTGCTTTAAGTTCATCAATCTATTAATGCCTGGATATATTATCTAATTAAATAAAAACCAAAACACACAAAAAGACTTGAAGTACTCAACTCCCTTACACACAACATTTATCCACATTCATGTGCGCCCAGTATCTAAAAATGTATACCTAAAAAGAAATATTTATAATAAACACTTTAATTGATGCAGTATTAATTAAAGTAAAAATAACGGGAAGTAAGCTCAAAAATATAATAAAAACTAAATAATAATAATAATAAAAAAGGAGTAGATTCTAATAAAGTAGCTATAATTTTTTGTATTTACAAAAGTAATTTTTGTTAAACATATCGATCGAATTTAATTAAATTTTGTTTGAATTTTTAGTGTAACGCATATGTTGTGTTCGTATGTACATATGTATATATGAAAAATGTCCATGAAATAGCACCAGCTGATGCTGATGTACCAAATTCCAATGGCCAATATCGATAGCAATTGGTAATAAAGCAACAATGCATTTAGGTAAACATCGATATTTTTAAAAGCTGTCATGTCTCGAATTTGCGCCTGCAGAACAATTACAGTATGTTAAATATATATTGCACTTAAAATTCGATTTATGGGGTTATCTTAATAGTTATTAATATTTTTCACGAAAAGATCACCCGTAAAATGCGACATTATGGTATTTTAAACACATTGTTGTTTTCTTTTACAAACCACTCTGGTCACACTTTTTGAGCAAGAAATATCGTCAGACGTTCACGGAAGACGATGTACATAGATTATAATTCCGGAGACATTTACACGCCTACGTGATTGCTAAGTTTCGGGAGCATATTGTAGTTAAAGCCATTAAATTCTAGTTTAAAAAAAAAAAAAACAGTGCATGTCTTATGTTAAGTGATAGAACTTATAAAACTCTTACAAACTGGACTACAAAACGAGGAGAATAATAAATAACAAATAAAAGAGCTATTCGCGTTTATACAAATACATATGCAATAACTGCGACACATCAAAAGCCATTTGCCACAAAAAATATGGCGAAGGCGAATTAGTGCAATCGTGCAAAACTTTAAAATACACACAGTATATATATACATAGTTTCAGTAAGGTATTTTGCAGAGGTAATTGTACCTGACTATTAATGTATGAATGTGCATCCATATCGTACCATACATCCATACGAATATATAGATTAATGTGTGTTGTAAGATTTCCTGTAATGTTTGGCAGTGTGCAATGAAAACATGTGTATGTATGTACATAACTACACATACATATGTATTTATTGTATCTGCCAATTGATTTTGTTGAAAAAATATTTATTTGAAAACAAGAGTCAGTTAGCCATTTCGATAGCACAACAATGTGAATTTGCCTAAATAGTCACGAATACAATTGCTGCAGTGGGGGATAGGGAGAAACCGATATCTAATTTGTTCGTTTTTACATTCAACGTTTACATTTGACTTGCATATGTACGTATATACATATGTAATTTCATACACACACGTACATATGTATGAGTGTGTGTTTGTGTATATATGTGTGTGAGTGTGATAGTGCAGAGTGCGAATTTCCTTCTTTCGATAGCAACGTAAGCGCACCGATAACTTCTTTCGATTGTCATTGTTGCTCTGCTGACTGATTCTGTTGCGGTTGCTTTCGGCACATACATGCATACATACATAATTATGTTAGTGTGTGTGAGTCGCTTGCACGGCGACGGCGCCTGTCTGGCGAAAGTGATTTTTCAGTAAAATTTCGCAGCTTCAAGTCGTCGGACGGAGTGGAGTGCAGCAGGTCGATCGGTCCGGTGGAGCCAAATTGACGATGTCGTAAAGGTGCCAAGCGGGCGTGCGACTGACTCCGTTGCTATTTATTATTGTGTCTGTGTGCGCGTGTGTGTTTGTCTGTCTGTGCCCTGTACCTCTGTTTATTTATTGTTAGCTTTTCAATTTTCATTCCACTTGCCCATATTGTTATTATTTATTTATATAAACTTTTTTTTTTTTACTTTGTGCATTTAGAACTTAATTCGAACGGGTTCATTGCGTACGTGAGTCTGTGTGCTGTCTGCGTGTGTGCGTTTGTTTAAATGTGGTGGGTCTCTGGGTATGTGTGTTTGGTATACGCAAACAAAGGAGCTCTACGTTTTCACCTCCTCTTACTCTTTTCTCTGTTTTCAATGTATAAAGTGCAGGATAAGGTAGATTGAATAAAACAAAGTGCAGCAGCATAGCGGCGACAGCGACAGTTACAGCCACAGCAGCAAGGCAACAAACAGTAAAGTCAATTAGTTGCATTAGTGTTTGCATGCATACGTCTTAATGTGCATAAGTGCGTGTATGCACAATAGAAAACATTAAAAATTATTGTAGTCCATTACCGCTTCGATGATATGCTCCAATGTACATGTCAACATTTATGCATACATATGTATATGTTTTTAAATTAACATGTGTGTGCAATTGTACGTGTATTTGTGCAGTTTTACATTGAACTGTCTTCAGCCCGTCAGTCCAGCAGCTGGGCAGGCAAAGCCGAATTTGAGCGCTCTCCTCGCGCTCTCTGTCTCTCTCTCGCTCTCCCTCTCTTACATCTGCCCATATTCCGCGTGAGAGTAAGCTTGAAGCCGTGCACAGTAGCGCCAGAGGCGCCAAAAAATGAAAGCATCGCATTTGAATTGTTATCGCACACAGGCATTGGCATACATATGTGTTGGTATACTGAGACTTTGGCATGGAGAAAATCACTTTCATTCTACTATGCGCTGTCGCAGCTGTTCTGGACTGCAGAATTTACAGGCTTCTTTTTATGGTCCCGCTTACGTAGAGAGGCGATTGGCTCAAATTTAAACTGTAAACGAAACACTTTGGACTCTCCATTTTGATTCTTGATCGAGTGCAAATAATTACAGAGCAAGAAGAGTGAAGAATAGAAATGTGTTAGGTCAAGTATTAAAATTAAAATGAAGTGAAATGGAAAGAAACAAACAAAATTGATTTGGCAAACAAAGTTTACAATTTTCTCAATCATTTATCATATGTGTGAGCATGTATGTATATACATATGTACATATACGAATATATATTTTTAAGCAAGTAAAAGCTGACGTAGCAAGCTAGACACAAAAAAGCAATCATGGTAAAAGTTTTGATTTGTATTAATATTATTATTATCGTAGCTAGTACTTGCAAGTAGAAGTATATGTAATTTGTTTGTAAACTTTATTTTGACGTGAGTGCTTGATTGTTATTTATTTGTTTGCAATGAATGCAAGTGAAACACGTGCTCATGATGTTGTTTCTGAATACGCAGAGTGCAGAAGCCGCAAATCAAGGACCCCCAATAGAAAGCAATAGAGGAGGACATTGCTGAAAGTCAACGAAACGACGCCACAGAGTGAAAGACCGCTAGGAGTGGGAGTGGGAGAGGGAGACGAAGAGCGTGAGCGAGAGCGAAAGCGTCGCGTCAAAAGTTGAGCGCATGCTGTGTAGGGGGCGGCGCAGAAGACGACTCAAGTGAAGTGCAAGTAGCAACAACAGAATAACAATAATATTAGTAACAACAATAACAAACAAACAACAGTAATTATAAGAAGAAAAGAAAAAAAAAAAAAAAAACAATAACACCAATACTTGCATCAAGCAGCCAACAAATATATATATGTAAAGCGAACGTGTGCGTGGGTATCCGATGCCAATAACGAACATGTTGATAAATTTGCCTTACTCTGCTGATGCTGCTGTTTCAATAACAGTATAATATCAACTACCTCCAACAAAATTAATAAAAATAAGACCTCAATAAAGGGATAAAAGAGCGAGCGAGACAAAAAGCCGAAGAACAGCAGCCTTGCTAGCTTTAAACAATAAAAAACGCGAGTTACAGCTAGACACGAGCGCCACCTACCGTCGACCGCACGCACAATACGACAGAGAGAAAGAGAGTCTGAGCAAAGGGACCCAAAACGTCACAGCCGCAACAAAAGCAAAAATATAACTAAAAGAAGTAAATACAAAACAACAAACAACAAATTACGAACAACATCAAAAGAAAATTATATTAAAAACAAAGTGCATCTAGACATTCAGCTCAGACGCTTGCATTGTATAAGTGCATGTGTATCTCCGCGTGCGTGTGTCCGTGTCCGTGTGTGTTCGTTACCGTGCCAGCGCGTATGTGGAAGTAGTGGTAGTTTGTGGTGCTGTTATCTGCTCCCTTTCTACACACCCACTCACACACACACATACACATAAACGCACAGACACACACGGCAACTCGGGCTCCGGTGGGAGGCGAATCCGTGACTGACTGGCTGTCACGTTGTCTTGCCCGCCAATATGGCGTGCCTTAACACACTGAAGCAAGAAATCAAAACACTGGAGAAAATCTTTCCGAAGAACCACGACCGCTTTCAGATACTCAATTCCAGCGTAGATGAGCTCCTCTGCAGGTTCATCGATAAGAATGGCAAGCGCTACGACATACATGCAAACATAACGGTAAGTAGTACTATATAAACCTATAATATATATATACATATATGTATATACTTATCAACAAATGCGCAGTTAAAGTAATTCATAAAGTGCACATAGAGACAGTGTATATAAGATATATCAAGTTAATGCGATTGTTCATTGATTGATTGACTGATTGACTAACTGTCTGATGATCCACGCCTAGCTCCAATTCAATCTTATTTATGTTAGATCCAATATAAACTTTATTTGATCCCCAATACAGTTGCCAGGCACAAATCAGCAGACGCTTTTCATTACATATTGTTTGTATGAAAATTCGTAAAAAAAAAAAAAATTAAACCTGCTTCTAATTACAAATAAACACTTATGTATATTGTAAACACTGATCAAATAACTGCACGGCTCAATCAAATTGACGAAGGTCACCTTGCTCTTATTTCCTGCGCACCGCTAGAATTTCCAGCCAGAGAAAAAGAGAGAGAGAGAGAGAGGGAGAGGGAGAGAGAACAGAAAACTTCTTGCTGTTCTGCAACTTTTACAGTAGAATTCCATTGGTTTATCCTACAGGCTGTCCTATCTCTCCCTCTCTTTTTCTCTCTGTGCCTCACTCATCCTCTCCTTTCCTTTATTCCTGCTGTTGTTAGCTTTGCTGCTGCGAAAATTTGTCTTCATCATATTTTTTTTTGATCATGTTTTTCGTTAACATATTTTCGTTACTCTACTCCAAGGCAAAAGGGTATCAATGTATTCTCACAAAATATGTAACATGTGGCAGGAGTTTCTTTTTTGCCTAGATTCACTGTGAGAACTCAACTATAACAGTATATTAGAGTTTAGCTAAATAGTAACTAAGTCAGTGATTTAGTCTAAATACACATTCAAAAGTCTTGCCATATCTATTAGACTGCATCTCTTTTACTAAAGGGTATTGACGCTTCTATTTACTACATATTGTTTATTTTTTGTTTTCTTCAGTTCACCTTTCGTAAAGTTGCTCTCACACGCTGTTTTATCGTGCCGTTGTCGATTCTTATTTAGGGGCAGCGTGCTTCAATAATTTATGATTCATTGCCCTGCGCCTCCAACAACAGTTGCCAACTTGCCAAGTTCGCCTCTGTCATACCGTCCCTCGCCTCACCGCTGTCCCCACTTCTGTCTGCTCTCCTCGCATCCTCTCCTCTCCTCTCCTTTGCTGTCCCATCGCTCCACTGTGCTGTGCTCTGCTCTGCTCTGCTCAGCTTCGACTCTGCTTTGGTTCAACGATCTAATTAAAGGTTATATATGTATGTAATTTCATTGACGCTGTCTCGCAGCTTTTGTTATAGTCTCCACATTCAGAAATATATATAATATACACATAATTTATATATATATTTATATGTACATACAGGTATTATCTGGCTGTTTAGCCAACTGTTTATGTCTGTTAAGCTATCAGTAAATTGAGCAATATTTTCAATATTTCCTTGAATGATAATAAACAAGGAATGGGAACTTTGAAACTTTGCTGTGTTAAATTTATTAACTTGACCGATTAATCAGTATAGCCAACAAATCTAAATCGCATAACAGCTTTAAAATGTTATTAGTATATGTGAATAAAATTGCGAAACTTGAATATCTTGATTAGTCACAGAAAATAGCTGTATGGAAAAGAAGGAGTTATTTATAGAACAACTCTACACTGGTATTAGTTTAGGGAGACAATTCAGTGTACAGTAGAACTGTAAACCTTAAACCCAAGCACACATATAGCTAATTTATATATATTCATAAAATGTCGGCAAGCAATTGCAATGAAAACTGGACAAACTTTTATGTAGATTGGGGATTATATAAGGCATTTTATATATGTATATAATGTCTCTGCACTTGTGAGCGTTTATGTGATATTTGTTTTGATTGGATTGCTATGTTTTTTTTTGTTTCATCCTCAGGAAACGTATCCATCATCGCCGCCAGTTTGGTTTGCTGAGAGCGAAGAGACGAGCGTCACGAACGCCGTGCAAATCCTTAGCAACACAAATGGTCGCGATAATCATGTGATTAATCAGGTAAGTTAGCATGCCTCTCCCACTCCCACTCCCGGTCTCTGTCTCTCCGTGAAATCGTGCATTAATCAGTGATTATGTATATGCGTTAGGTTGGCATATTGCTGCGCGAGCTGTGCCGTTTACACAATGTTCCACTGCCACCCGATATTGATAATTTAACGCTGCCGCTGCAAACGCCGCCGCCCTCTGCCTCGCCATTACGCTTGGAGCGTTCAGCTGGTGGCGGGGGTGTTGGTGGCGGCGTTGGCGGTGGAGCGGGCCCACACGGCAACGAGGAGACTGATTCGGATCAGGACGAAATCGAGGATCCCATCGGTGAGAGCGAGCAGGAGAGCGAGGGCGATGAGGATCTACCATTGGAAATGGATGATGTGCGAAACACAAATAAAGTACGTCAACGCATGAACAATAACAATTGTTGTTATTATTATTAATGAAATCTCTTCAAGCAGAAAGATGATATGGAGGTGGAACACTTAGCGACTTTAGAAAGACTGCGTCAAAGTCAAAGACAAGACTATTTAAAAGTGCGTACATACATATATACAAGAAAAGTATAGAATGTCATGTATATAACTGTCTCTCTCTTTTTCTCTATATCGCCATCTCTTTCTAATTGATGCAGGGTTCAGTTTCTGGTTCAGTACAGGCAACAGATCGCCTGATGAAAGAACTACGTGATATTTATCGATCCGATGCGTTCAAGAAGAACATGTACTCCATTGAGCTCGTCAACGATTCGATTTATGAATGGAATATACGCCTCAAGTCTGTCGATCCGGATAGTCCATTGCACAGCGATCTGCAGCAGCTGAAAGAGAAGGAGGGCAAAGATAGCATATTGCTCAACATACTCTTCAAGGAGACGTATCCGTTCGAGCCACCCTTTGTTCGTGTCGTGCATCCAATCATCTCAGGTGCTTGGCTTGATTACCTAACCAATTAATTGTCACAATTACAGCAATGATTCTAATGTATTGTATATTGTTTCTCCATTAGGTGGCTATGTGCTCATTGGTGGCGCTATTTGCATGGAGCTGCTGACCAAGCAAGGCTGGAGTTCCGCCTACACAGTCGAAGCCGTGATCATGCAAATTGCCGCGACGCTGGTCAAGGGCAAAGCGCGCATACAGTTTGGTGCTACAAAGGTGCGTAATATTAAGCAGACATTAAGTGCTTATAAATGATATACATTTCTTTTCTAATCCAAAGCAGGCGCTCACCCAGGGACAATACAGCTTAGCAAGGGCTCAACAGAGCTTCAAATCTTTAGTGCAGATCCACGAGAAAAATGGTAAATCGTAGCAAATGTATAACTCAAATTGTAACCGGATTGTGCTAATTGCTTGTTATTGTCATTGACAGGTTGGTTTACGCCGCCGAAGGAGGATGGCTAAGATTTATTGTTGCTTAAGTGTTTGTATAAGCTTAAGGAACGGACGTTTGCCAAATGTCGTCGCTCATCCATATACATATATATATATTTGAAAAGTGTCTAGAAAATTCAAGTCTCAATGATTAAAGAAAAATGGTTTCTTATAT